CCGTTGTGGATGAGAAAGGCCAAGAGCTCTTCGTTGGAGGAGGACCTGGGCCAATGAAGTCTTGGTCATGGCGTCGACAGGTGAAAGACACTTCGGGTGTGCCGATCTTCGATCTACGACATCACGGGTCGGCAATGAAGAACCTCTGGACGGTGGAAAATCCAGATGGTCAGCGCATAGCGGAGCTGAAACATGTCTCTTCTGGCCGCCGATCGGATCTTGATATGGTCGTTCCCACCGGAAAAGACAAGGAAGACGACGTGGTGCTGCAGGTTCGGCAGAAGGACCAGAGCGCAATTACGACTAGGGTATTCTCCAAAGACGTCTGTATCGCCGAACTGCTGTTGCAGGAGTCAAACGATATCTCCAACCTCAGTCAAGTTGACAGAAGCTCTTGGAAGGTTCGGATTGCTGGTGGTCTCGATCCAGCAGTGGTAAGGCTTCTATCGACCGCGGATATGATTTGAAGCTAACCAGTGACTCAGATCTTAATCATAGCTCTATGTCGGGCTGAGATGCATCATGTGTGGAGACAGTAGTACCTCTTGTGAGAGCATCGTTGCTCGAAATGTGGGAGTCGTGAGTGGCCCGTTGCTTGGGAAGTGACATACTGGCCATGGCGTCTCGCTTGCGCCAGGGTATTCGTGAGGCCTTTATTGTTCCTTCAGACACTCATTTCGCTGCCCTGCAGAAGACGCAGCCATCTACGTAGTTATTTTACGACGGCTTAGTCAGTTAGTGAAGTTTACCAGCCTAACCACTCATTCACCAATTCATCAGATCTGCTGGAGAGTCCTTTCCCAGTTGACAAGTTGTGTATTTGTAGATGTCGTCGTAGACGTTTGTCGAGCGTTTGTTGGGCGAGGTGAGTCAGATGGATCGGAACTAGGTCTCAGTACGATCGCAGTTGTGCCATTGTTCCTTCCTACTCTTCAGTCGCATAACAATGCGAATTGTTGCGATGAACTTTTCCTTCTTGGCCATATGTCTACGCGCGGTGTCTACGCGCGCAGACCCGACTGAACAGGCGACACACCCATACTCAGAAGACGTTTCGCTTTCAACCCAAAGATCTCGCGATGAACAAGAGCGCGATGAAAATGCTGAACAGTCGATAATTGCGCGCTTTGGATGAAAGAGGGGTTTAGAAGGCACGTGGAAGGGTCTCATCAAGCGATAAGAAAATGACGTTCGTGGATAAGAAGGTCCGAGAATAGCTCCGGTTTTTAGCACACCTTGAACTAGCAACCCCGGATCTCCAACACAAGCTCGAAGCTGTAGTGGAGTCAACTTGTTCCATTTGAGAATGTGTAAACGACTCATCTAGGCGCTGAAGGCTCATAGCATTGCTGATTGACAGCTTCGTGTTCAGAATGGCATGATTTCGATTCAGTTTCATATTTTCGAGAACACGACCGTGCACATTCCTGCCTTCAGTAACCACCCCTCAACCAGCTACCTAGGTAAGCTCGGACTAGACCGATTTGCTCTCTCCTCGTGGCACCAACACCAAGCTGAAGAAACAGTATGGTCTGCGAACTTTACAAGATGCCGACCTCCGATATGTTGTTGGCTACCTAGGTACCGTCACCTGCTGGCGCCCACCCTCTCGCCCACCGTCGCTTACTCCTTACCACTGGAACACTCTGAAGCGCGCGATCAAGATCCGCACGGCTTACCAACATAAATCATTCCAGAATGCCAGAAATCGTCAGCTTCGGCATAACGGACATCACCCTGTGAGGTTTCCTAACAACAATCGCTCGCCCTAAGCCATTTGCGCTAATCGCAATCTTAATCACGACCGTCTTCTATGTTTTTCTCCGAAAACTCCGGCCCCTAAGCCTCGCCGAGGCCGGTTTTGATAGCATCAAGAGTCTATAATCTTACTGTTGAGGTCTTTGGCGACATTTAGAATGAGCTGCATTGCACTTGCCATTATCTATCTGCTAAGGCGCCGGTGGTCGAAGTCTTGGAGGCAACTATCGTAGGGGAGGCTGTTGGTGATCAAAGCTCCTGCGGCGAACGCTCTGTCCTCTCACTTCCAAAGTTTACTCACGAAGTGTTAACTTGTGGGCTTCCGGTGATGCCCTTACCGTGTTTAAGTTTTCGCGTTTGCAGTCCGCATTAGGTGGCGTGCGGCAACCTACGTGGTACAATACTCGCCCAAAGTTATATAATGCTCGGCATTCATGTTGTTTGACGAGGGTGATTGAGTTTGTTGCCCTAAACTCATCAACGTCCCTAACGTCAGCTTCCTGCACCGTCTCACACCTGACGACGTGCTGGTATCGACTTGGGTTTATTCGGGCCGTGCTCGGGTATGAACAGAACACGGCGGTCGCTTTCGCGACAATGGAGTTCGCCTTTGGTTCAGATTAGTGCCTGCCCAGGTGGCCTTGAGTCGGGCTGGTAGGCCAGTACCAATCAGCAGTCTCTCCAGCAATTGAGCCGATCCCCGGCTTACTTCCGATCTTAGCCCAACACGGATCCAAAACAGGGACGTGCGCGCCGGATTTGGGATCAAGCATGTGGATCGGCTTGTCTGTGGAGAAGTCTGCCAATAGGGAAGTCAAATGGTGGAACGAACCGCCAATCAGGTAGGGACCAAGCATGCTTCAGCTGTAAATTGGCAGCCATCGTAGGTCTAGGTCTCTGGCAGGGCGCTGCCACAGACCGGCGGATACCTTCAAAACCATGCTTCCCCTCGCGGCTTCCATCTCGTGTCAGTCTAAAGCAAACCTCATCGTTGATCACACTTCACAGTCGCTTTCAAGTAACCAAACTTTGCCAACATGCGCTTCTCCATTATCGCCGCTGCCGCTGCATTGAGCTCTACAGCTCTGGCCCAAGGTCTTCTTGACCAGATCCCGCAATGTGCTGTAAGTCATCGACCATGACTACCTGCGAACGAAAGCTAAAGAAAACGCAGCAAGCCTGCTTCGGTGGCAACTTGGGCAGCTGCGGTGCTACTGACATTGCATGCATTTGCGAGAGCAAGATTATCGACGCTGTGTCTTGCTGTGTGTTCGCTACTTGCTCACAGTCGGATATCGCTGGTATGTCGCTTGCCATTTCGCGTCCCGTCCCAGCTAACAAGTATCACAGCGACCACTCAGTTCGGTGTCGAGATTTGCAAACTTCAGAACATCGACGTCAACACCCAACCCTCATGCCCGTCTGGCAGCGCGACAGCATCTGGCAGCGCGACACCGTCTGGCAGCGCGACCCCTTCTGCCGGCAACTCCTCTGTCACACAAGTGTCTGGCACCGCCTCCATGACCCCTTCAGGAAGCGCCTCCGCTACTTCAGCATCAGCGGCTGGCAACACTGGAGCAGCACCCATCCAGACTGCAGGCGCGGGAGTGGGTCTTGGACTTGCCATGGTCGGACTGCTCGCTGCTTTGTAGGAGAACACTGTCATCAATGTACGCTGTTGGACACTTGCCCAGCGCCCGTCGTTCGCACGGTAGCCCCAGCCATGCACCTGACGCGTCGTGTACCAGACATTTTCCCGACTCGCGCCTCAAGAAAACCTTCCTGCAAACATCGATTGTTCACACCGAAGACATGGCCTGGTTTATTTGTAGTGTATTCTCACAGTTTGGAAACTTCTTTGTTTAATAACATAATTTATTTCGGCATTTACAACTATTAGTAGATCTGTAGCATTAGTGCTAAATTGTACTGACAAGTAACTGTGAATGCATTCTCTCTGGAGATATTTAGTTGATGTATCCCCTTAAAGGGAGGTGCTATGAAACTACATACATCGATGATACCAGGCTGGAAAGCCTGCCCTGCTTGTTTGGCGTGAAACCACTTCAACTCTCTTACTTTAGAACGCGCTGGTAATGATTACAGTCTTCCAGGCGCACACAATGACTGACTCCATCTTCTGTTCGCGACTGCACGACGTGCTGCGGGATAATCCAGCTGATCCGCCCAATCCCGTGCCCGTGCGGCTTATTCTTGAACATTCGAAGTTGAAGCCTCGTCGGCCCCTAGTCGGGACGCGCTCGGCCGCTACTATTTGCCATTAGCTGCCTTCCACCGAAGCATGTTCAGCTCCCGCGGCCCATTGGACGATCTGCACACCCCAGATCTTCGACCCTTCAACATCCCCGGCATCCGTCACTGTCAGCCTTCATCATCAGTCCTCACTTCCAGCCGACTTCCTTTTTTCCTTACATTTTTTTGCGCATGCATTCCACGTAGCTGTTGCGACGCTCTACCGCAATCAGCATTCATAAGGTCGTGCGACAATGGGTCTCGGCATCCTCTCTGACCATGCGCTCGAACAGGTCCCTGGGACCGCGCAGGTATTGGAAGGCGAGCAGCGGAGGGAAATAGAAAGAAATGCAGGAAATATCATAGGGAGGTCAGGCTTGAAGTACGACAAAACTGGGACAATACTGCTTGTTCCGCAGCCGAGTGATGATCCGAATGATCCGCTTGTACGTCTTTCAAACGTCCCATTCTGGCACAAAATCTAGGCAAGTGCACATAGTTGACTGATACTCCAGAACTGGTCGCTTCGTCGTCGCGACACCATTCTCCTTCTTCTATCCTCCATATCAGTCATCGCAAGCACCCTCTCTCCCATTCTTGCCGCCAATACTGTCTCCCTCGCCATTTACTTTGGTCACAACCTAACCGACATGGCTCTGTTGACCGGCTACCACCTCTTGGGTGTCGGAGTCGCAGGTTTTCTTTTCGTGCCGTCAGCGCGTATCTGGGGAAAACGACATGTGTACATTCTAGGAACTGTGATCGTCGTGGTGAGTTGTGCGTGGGGTGGCGCGATAGGAAACAATTATGCTGGATTTCTATGGGCGAGGGTGTTTCAAGGCGTGGGCCTAGCGCCATTCGAAGCGCTCGTCAATGGTGAGTTCAAGCGTGGATATCTTCGAATCCTACTTGAAGCATACACTAACTTTGTATCTCGATTCAAAGCCAGTGTTGGCGATATGTATCACGTCCACGAGCGCGGAGTCCGCATGGCGCTGTCAAACTTCGCCGTCTTCGGAGGCGCGTTCCTTACCCCAGTTTTGGTAGGAGTGATTGCAGATTCAATCGGATATCAGTGGACATTCTATTTTGTCGCCATATTCTCGGGGATCATGCTACCGCTGATCATACTCTTCTGCCCGGAAACGGCGTTCAGGAGGGAAGAGAAATTTGACACCGATACTATGGGGAACTTGCTGGTTAAGGATGGAGAAGAGATGAAAATCTTGGGTAATCGGGGGTCGAGTAGCACATCTGCTGAACACGAAGCAGCTGGAAACACGGATGAAAAGGGAGCAGGAAACTCTGCGGACCAGCATTCGGTGGGCGATTCGCCACGCAAGGCTACTTTTCTCGAAAGTATGAAGCCGTTCAATGGGCGGAAAACAGATGACCGGTATCTGCACCTCCTTCTGCGGCCGTTCTCGCTGTTCTTGCATCCGGGTATACTATGGGCCTGTCTCATCCAAGGCAGTCTAATCGGTTTCACGGTCCTTATCGGTGTTGTGCTTGCAGCAATTATGCTTGGCCCACCGCTTTGGTTTGGAGAGAAGGAGACAGGATACATGTAAGTTGATACATTCCGTTCATGTTTTGCACCTACATGTCCTAACCCCATCAAGGTATACAGGCGCCTTCATCGGTGCACTCCTCGGCTTCGGCCTCACCGGTCTGATTAGCGACTGGTCCGCCAACCTGCTCACGCGTCTCAATAACGGCGTCTACGAACCCGAGTTCCGCATGGTGCTCGTGATCCCACAACTCATATTAGGTTGTGCTGGTATCTACGGCTTCGGCTGGACCAGCGCAGATACGGCAACGTACGGCTGGTTTTGGCCTGATTTCTTCTTCGCGCTTGTAGTTATGGGTATGGTGTGTGGTGCTGTCGCCAGTGCGCTGTACATTGTCGATGCGCATCGTAAGTCTCCGAGACCATTCCATGCTTTGAGATACTGACGTGTATAGGCGGCATGTCCATCGAAGCTTTCACGTGCCTCCTCGTTTTCAAGAACGTATTCTCCTTCGCCCTGACGTTTAAAGGCTTCGACTGGGTCGTTGAAGCTGGACGGCGGAGTGGGGTAGGTGGTGGTGGGGGAATCAAGACCCTGTTTATCGCCGTCGGGAGTGCGCAGGTCGCGGTTTGTGCGTTGACGATTCCGATGTGTAAGTCTCAGAGAGAAGGTGAGATGAGGGCAGTGGCTAATCTGTGCTTTTATAGATATCCTCGGCAAGAAGAACCGGAGTTTCTTCCACCGCCACAATGTTTTCTTTGCGGTAACGGATTGGGTGGCGGATAAACTGACATTTTGGTAGGAGGTTATCAGAAGGCCATTGTTGGAGAGGATCGCTTGGAGGGTATTAATGTGGACTTCGATTCCTGCACTGTCGTTTGCTATGTTTGTTTCTATCTTCTGTTGTTCTTGTCGGATTAGAGCCATCTATCCCTGTCATCGCTGCATTGATCCGGCTTGGGTTACATGAGGCCCGGTCACATTATAACCCATGAAAATCCCTGTTTCTTCACATACGACCATAGGACACTGAGAATTAGGCTTCCCGTCCGCTCAGCCATATACAAGCAGTGTACCGGCCCATTAGTAGCTTCGTGGGTGACCAGAAGCGAATCCGGGCTGCTGTATGTTTTTGCTCTTTTTTGCACCATGGTGGTGATTTTTTTGCGCGCGTTCGCCCCACCAGCCCAAGACCCACCACGAAGCTCTCAAGCACGAATACCACTCATCGTCCACCGGGCTACCGGAACACCAATAGTTAGAGCAAGGAACTCGAGTTCTCTACAAGAATCGTGGTTTCTTCTACCATCATGAGCTCTGCATTCCCCTTGTTAAGCATGTGTACGTGATCTACGCGTACCGGATGAGCAGCTAGAGATGATTTGATGTATGATGAAGCTTCCGTATCCATCTCATGTGAGATTTGAGCAACACTTCAAGGTACCTAGGCACCCCTAATCATCTCCATCCATCATGACATCCACAATGGCCTTTGCCTCCTCAAGATCCTCTTCACGGTAGAACTTGAGTCCATACGAAATCATGAACTGCTCCGAATTGCCATAGTACTGTTCGATCCAATCAAGCTGGCGTTCCGTGAAGTTGTAGTCTGCCTGATGGCCTTCGAGACGTGACAAATCAAAATCATCCTCCTCATCCCCGGACCCTCCCAGCTCGGACATCTCGTCCTCACGCATGATGGCGCGTAAAATCACCCGTCCCTCTTCGCGGTCTTCTTCTTTGTAGATACTGAGCCCGTGCTGTCTCAAGAAGTGATATTCAGAGCGATAGTGTTTCTTGAGGAACGAAGTTTCTTCGGCCGTGTAAGGCGCAGCATTTGGCTCCGGAGTGATGAGTCCATCTCTGGCTTTGAATTCTTCCCACTTACGCCTCTCGGCATCGTCCCATCGGCAGCCTAGCACGTACATCACGTCCTTCTTGAGCGCGTACGGACCGAGCCTTGGCCCGTTCGGTGACCGGCGCACTTTGATACCGAACAATGGGCTTTTAGAGGCGAAATAGGCAGCGTTTTTACCCTTGCTGTCTTTGATGGTGCCTTTGTGCTTTCCGCTTTTGCCGCCGAATGTCACTACGTTGTATCCATCAGTGTACATGAGTGGTTGCCCAATGGTGTTGCAAATAAAGTCAGGCACGTGCAAGACCTCGTGAAGAATGAGAGATCGATGCGAAGATACACCTGAAGCATTCGGAGAGCGTTTGGTGGGGATTTCGACGGTACCGATTCCCAGCACGGGAGTTTGCGTGTGCGGGCCGAAGAAGGGCGAGGAATTTACTGTTGATTTGAAGGGCGTGTACGTTTTAAACCAGCCTCTGTCCTTTGCTACGCTGACAGCCATATGTTAACGGTGAATACTCCTGAATGAGTCGTAGCTCACCTACTGTACGTTGGCATTGTTTAGAAAGACCCAATCGGGACAGAGGCGTGAATTGGTATCCGGATTCATCTCGTTGTCAGACTGCTTGCTGTAGGTCCGCACGGGTACTTCTGGCGATCGAGGCTAGATGGACAGGAGCTGACCGATGAGTGTCCTCCTATGCGGGGTGATGCGGCTGGGGGATTAGGTATATTTACTTGCGCGATTCCACGGCTGTTTGCTGCGCGCGATTGGCCCGAGGTAATGCCGTATTAACCAGGGGCAACCACGCTAACGAACAGTCCTACCCATGGACTCCACCTGGGCACTTCCAGCTGGTCATTGGCGAGTTGCCCCCACAGTTGCTCAGCTGAACCGACTTCACGCATAGACTGCATGCGCAGACAGTACGCGCAAAGCAAGAAATTTAGACAATCTTAACAGGAAATCGTTTTCGAGCTTTATGAGGTAGTCGCGCGCCAGTCTCCCCCATGGCTCGCAGCTGGAGCTTATCCGGCAAATCCCTTTTGCGAGGTGCCCAATCTTGGCTGAACACGTTCCCCAAAGGTCTTCGGGAGCTCTAACTGGAAATCGGCCGCGATGATTCGCGTCCACTCAACCCTGTACAAGCAGAATACCGGTGTGCTAGTAACTAATGGATGACTACATACTGGCGATTTTCGCTGTTATAAGCTTCTGGCTTCGTTTTTGCGCCGAAACTTAACACATCTTTTGCGCTCAGATTACATCCATTAGACTACGACCAATTACTACAACCTCTCAAGATCATAACAAAGTTGGCTAATTCATGCTCAAGACGACATTGACAACTCACGAAAGTCCCCTCTCTCTCAGCCGTGCCTCCGCCCAAGCTCCAAGGTCGCCAAAGAACTTTTCAGATTCACCACCACGCCAATCGCGCAACGCAAACCACAGGTAGCGCACGTCTTGTCCCGCTTTGATAGCAAACTCAAAATCTGGCGCATGCGCGTACAATTGCTGTCCATTGTAGCAGGGGTTAGCGCACCATCATGGTAAACAACATTCGGTACAGACGAACCTTGATGTAATGTCGCGACCAGGTGGCATATGTTTCCAGTTCTGCAGCCGTCGGTGATCGAGGTATCCTAGTGACAGCCGGCTCAGAATGCTCGTTCGTAATCAGATCCACAGGACCAGCCGCGACAAGTGGGTCGGCTAGTAGAGCTGGAACGATGCATGCTGTCTCCCAATCATATAGCGACGTGACTCCGGGCTTACGGTCGTCGTCTGTGATGATCGAAGTGTTGTGTATCCCAAAGTCACCGTGCTCAAGCACTAGCCTATACAAGATGTCGGAATTCTCTTGCGGTAGTAGACGTGGTATCGCTTTGAGGAGAGACTGCTTTGCTGCTAGTGCAACAGGTCCCACAGTTTCTTCATCATCTTCCCATCCCATCATGTCACCTTCGTTCTTGATTGTTGCTTCAACCTTTGACTCCATTACGTGTATCCAGAATTCGCGAGTAGGCGCTACGGGTAAGGTGAAAGCGTGTGGTTTGAAGTCAAAGATACGGCTATGTAGGTACTCGGTCGTGAACTCCGACGGTGGGCAATAGTTGAATAAGGCAGCACGCATGCGTGCAAGCTGATCAAGCAGCGACTCCTAGAAGCTCTTAGTATATGGCGAACACTTTGAGTATTATTTCTCACCTTTCCTCCGGCATCAAGCTCTTCCCATACGTTGTTAGTTCCATCAGATCGTTCGAACACAAACATGCGTCGACCAGACAGATCATCTGGAACCTGCGTCCTAGAGCCTGGTTTCAGGAGTGGTGCGCGAGAGTAGAGTAGACGAGAGGCGCGGACTTCGGCTTCGTTCCGCAAAAGAGTGTACGTGGCTGCTTCGAACAAAACCTCGGGGATCTGCTGCTCGACAGCGAAGCCATCAAAGTCTGGCATATTGACGTCGCCACGAGCTAGACGAACCACCATATCTGGTCCATTTCGGACCTTCAAGTGGAATCCCTGATCAACAGTCAGTCAGGTGTAGTCGGCAAGATCGCCTAAGTTGATTACTGGGCGACGTTTCCATCTTCGTTTCCCTGGTGATAAAGGGCTGCAGGGCTAGATAGGTTGGTCGGAGAGCAAGTGCGAAGATACACGTACATAGTTGTTGGAGCCTTTATCGATAGTCGGGATATCTGTTACTTCAACTTGAAGCTTCTCTTCAATCTCATCGATGAGCAACTGCACGTTCCAGACGTCTTTGAAGGGACTAACATTGTCCCGCACCAGTGTCAAGATATGTTTGCCGTCGTACTCTTCTCCATTCAATCCAACGGGCCACTCATCGCGCCAGGGCATACTTTCTTAGAGTTCGATGTGACTTCGCGATTTCTTCGTGTGGTCGATATTCGTGAGATAGGTGGAAGGTGAGTGATCAGTCTGGCATTACTCGATTCCAATTTGTGTTTGCCTTCGCTCGCTAATCGTTACACAAAGGCGTCTAGATGGCGAACGCCCCGTGCGTTGCATGATGCAAGGGTACGCCATATAACAGCAATAGATAAGAGAAGACCTTTGTATACTACTTATACCGAGCCTCATCCGTCTCGCTTTCTACTCTGTTGAGAAGTAGAGGTCAAAGACCGTTGAGCAAAGGGGTCATGTTTGGAGTAATCTGTTGTGTCATGAGTACACGAGACCGACAGAGCATTATAGCGCCTAGAGGAGGTTTCGCAACCTTCGGGTGCGCGCACGCGTGCGTGACGCGCCAGTAGCAAAGTGGGTCTTGTGACGTCATGTCGACGCGTCGACGGTGCGTGGAGTTTTGGCAAGTGCAACGCGCCTCCTGAATTTCCACCACGCAGCGCCATAACAGCAACAACCCTGAAGGAGCAACGCATTTAGTCCAAAAGTTATGAAGTAAGCAACTCACTCCGATGGTTTAGGTCGTGTATCCATGAATAACGTGATCGATTTAAAGAGTGGCACGAGGGAACGGCACGCGCTTGCCAAACCCTACACTTTCAAAATTGGAGAAATACATCGACGAAAGGAAGCGCAACTACGAAAACACTCGCGATCCAAATCGGCCTCATCACAAATAACCCGCCCAAGATTGCGCTGCCGAAGCCGCGTTCGCTGCAGCAATCCCTCCGGCGACATCGCCCTTTGAGCTACCCAAGCCAATCTCGAAGCTATCATAACCGCAACTAGTCGGCGCGCCAGCTTCAGAGCCGTCTAAGCCAGGAACGATCTGCCAATACAACTACAACGTACGTTAGCATGCTGTTCGTCGAGCATTTGTACCTGTCATGCTTACCCAAGGAACTCCAGCATCATTGAACACTTGGACCTGCGTATCGAAAGAGTCCTGGTAGTCGACCGAGACGCCCCACTCTTCCATCATGATGTTCTTGCCTGCAGCTCTGGCTCCGCTTAGGACTTCCCTGTCGCCGGTGATGTAGTACGCCCAGTCGGACGCCTTGCTCATGTATCCGTGCATGCTGATGATGTCGATGGCATCGCACTGCATAGCCTTCTCCAGCGTATTGAACTCGTGGTTACAGCAGTAGTGAGAGCCGCCGACACCGCCTGTGGCAACCTTGATGTTGGAGGATCCAAGAGCACTGCGCAGTGCTCCAGCACGGCCACACAGCCAGTCGTCCGGGTCGTTGGCGTTCAACAGGTCGATTTGCCCAATCAGCGGCTCGTTCTGTAGGTCGAAAGCCATGATGACCTCTTCCATATCTTTCCAGGCTTTGCCAAAGTTTGGTGACTGGTAGTTTAGCATCTCGCTGAGTCTGTTGTCGTAGTCGGCTTTGGCGTTGGATGAAGAGTAGAAGGTAGGTGCGTCGCCATACTTCTGACAGTATGCATCGCACCCTGCGCTACCGCCCAGTGTATTGGCGTTGTGGGGAGATATGATTGCCTTCATACCGTTGTCGTGCAGTAGTTTGAGAGTGTCGTCGAGCTTATCTAGAACGGTGGTATCGTACACACCAACCGTCGCTTCGAAAGCTGGCACGTCATTCTCGATAGTACTGCCCTTCAAGCACCCTGTAGCAACGTTCGTCGCTGCACAACGATTGTCAGTACTGCAGATATCCCCTCAAGTCCACTGCTAAGAGGATGCAGAATTATTCCAAAGGTGTTCATAACTGTTCAAATGCTACTTACCCCACAGCCTCAGGACCTTGGCGCCCCATCCAGCAAGAGTTTCAACATACTCCTTCTGCTCGGATGCAGAAAGGGCATGAAGAAAGTACTCATTACTTCCTGCGAATGAAGTTGAAGCTTGCCTGCGAGTTGGTACCAAACCGTTGACTACCGTTGTCGATAGCCCCAGCAAGGAAGTGATAGCCATAAGGCTGCGCATCGTGAAAGTTGGTGGTGCGTAGATGTATACGATTTATAAACAGATGTGGGTAGTAATTGGTGAGTAATTTAGTCTTTGCATGCCAAAGACTATATATGCCATGGTGGCCATCCAGGTCAACCTTGCGAGGGGCCGAATACAGTTGAATGCGCCTGTGTTGATGGTTTGGAGACATATGGGGCCAGCCTTGCCAGCCACGTTCGCCGTGGCATCACCTCAAATTACCAGCTAATTTTATCGCATCGAAAGTTTACGGGTGAGCTAGCCTTGATTGTGGTGGCTGTCTGTGACAGCTGCGGGAGTGTACCCACGGACGCTATGCATGCAGCTGGGCCGCCCCAAAGGCCGCCCCTATTGGCCCGATCGAAACTCTAGAGATAAATGGCGACGCACCCGCCGGATTCAGTCAATGGCAGGCACCGAAGAGAACGCCATGTTCTTACCCGTCACTATCAGACCCCGATCATTTCTCGTTCGGCGTTGCTGCTGCTGCACAATTCCTCAGCCTTGCCGGTGTGTTGAGGTGAAAGTCTATTTATGCGTACGTGGGCGTCCAATCAGAGTTCAGCCGTCTCGGGTTCAAGTATGTGCATACACATGCCCGTGCTATCACATCAAGACATCCATTTCCAGCGAAGGAAGGCTGGGGTAATTTGCGACATGTGCGAAAACGCCCTGCGTACAAAATACGCCGGTCCGCTGCCAACCTAGCTTTCTCCACAACTCTTCCCTTAGCCTTCCCGCTGTGAAAAAAAGAAGGCTTGTATCGATTTATCTCCCCAGGAAGATACGCTAGCATACACCAAGATGTTTGGCAGCCGAGGCTTTCCCGCTCTTGCTCTTCTTTTAGCCCTGATTAGCGTAGCAGGCGCTAGTGGTCCTACGAGTATCTTCATTGATCAGATTGAAGAATACAAGCTCCTCGCAACATGTGCCGAGCTCGAGTTGTCGACTATCGTGCGTAACATGAAATGGGGGTGTGGGGATGGCGGCTCATACCAGTCGTTTACATGCTGTAAGTTGACATCATGGAAGAAAGCTTGCGTCTGCGACATGCGCTGACCTCGTAATTTCCGTCTCACAGTCTGCTACGAGAGCTCTGCCAAGTTCTCCAGCATGATTGGAGCTCATGTCATGACCCAGTGTCCAGACGACCCTACGCAAAACACGACGGCGCTGGAAGTGTTTAGCAGCTATTGTGATATCGGAGGTTCTAAATTAGCTGAGATCGCTGGTGAGTAATCCCTTGTTCTGGGGTGAGAAAGCAACGAGCTGACATGGCGAAAGCCGCTACAACATCGGTGCCAGCAACAACGTCATCGCCATCATCATCGTCTGCTTCTCCAGCATCGACGCTGCAATCGGCTTTCTCAACTCCCACCTCGACAACACCTATCTCATCACCTGACCCCACTACATCACCTGAGTCGACGCCTGCTCCCAAGTATCCCTCTCGAAAAATCGCGATAGCTACAGGTATCACTGTTCCGGTAGTCGTCCTAGCTTCAGCCTTCGCGGCCTTCTTCTTGTTCCGCCGCTATAGGAACACGCATGGTAAACCCGTGCTGTATGAAGCCGACGGTTCTTCCTTGGATGCATCAAGGGGTGGCACATGCCATGAGGTGAGTGAGAAAGGGCAAATTCCTGCAGAACTGGCAGACCACGATCGCCACGATCCTCACGAGTTGGATGCCCAAAGCGATAGTAAGGTTTGATGAAACGCGTCCTTAGTGGATGAAGTCTTGTGGAAGTCCAGTTAGACAGTTGGCATGGTCTCGAGTAAAGATCGTTTGAACGATTTGCTATGTTCCGCGTTAGTGCAACAGGATGGGAGTCTCTTAGCGAAAATTAGAAGAACGGAGAAGCTCTAGCCAGAACATCCGCTTGCCGCTTGGTCAATCCACCATGACAACCATGTTGAGTCAATCGTGAACAGATACTATTGGGTGGGTAACACCGTAATAGTCCATTCGAAATGTAGCCAGGACAGTCAGGTAGGCCGTTTACAAAGTGGACATCCTTCTCCACTCCAGCTCTTTACTGACGCGATCGGGGTCGCACCTTGCCACGACGAATATGGCAAAGCTCTTGGTGTACGGCAGTCTTCTCTTCTTCTCTGCTTAGCAGATGCATCGTCAAGCTGCGCCCATGCTTCGTGACCAGTACAACTCTACCAAAACTTTGCCCAAAGATCGATGTACGAAGTCAGTAAATGGCTCACAACATTTCGTACACAAATATACCTGTGTGAGAAGGTACCAGAAGTTTGTTTGTCCGTCGAGGAGGATATCAGGTGAGTTTCCTTTGATCCAGTCCTATAAGCAGTCTAGGTGGCTTCAGGAAGCCGTGCATGTGTCCAAATTCGATCGTTGTAAGATGCGGTTCCGCAGGTATCCTTCGGACCGGGCGGTAACATCTAGCTGCCCTGCATTTGCGCATGTTGAGACATCCAAATTTCCATGCACCACTGAAACGGCTAGGCGACGATCCGATCGTCGGGTTAGTTGGTCCCATGTGATGCGGATTAGTGCATGCTAAGCACGCTTGAAGCTTGCGACTCTAAACACGAGTCATTGACTCTGTATGTGTTCGCATAGTGAATACTACCACTTGGATGCGATTTGGGGTCGACATCGTTTCCAAATGCAGTTCCATCAATGACAGAGTCGCGATAAAGCCTCGTTTAGAGTAAAATCCCGATAATACCAACATTTGTTTTGTTCGAATTACCAAAACCGGCAAGCCGGCGTTCCCTTCGGCATCATGTTCGCCTTGACAGAACGGTGTTATGCGGGGTACCGGGGTTGCTGTATCTACCCCGCAAACTAGACATTCGGAGAGCAACGTATCGATCGCCTGTGCGTGGCGTTGCCGCGGAGTGTTTCCGCATTCAGACACATCCAGTACCAGGCCTTCACACGCGACATCTCCGTTGATTCCCTTAGGGCGTCCGGTCGGATGGGATACTAGAGGAGATCGACAT